TTGAACATTAAAACATCTAAACCTATTGTAGTAGAGCCACAAAATACAATTATGAACCTGAAAAGGGGCATAATATGTCTCCTTTGACGTTAGCCCTCTGACTTGTAGTGAATAATATATATATATATATATATGTATATATTTACAATATATTTATATATAAAATACTACAGGTATACAGTATTGATGGTTGTTATGTTAAAATGTGATATGTGATATATTATGTGATAAAAACATTAACACCACTTCTTGTCCAGCAATGTTAACTGCAGCTGACCTCTGACCTCTGTCTGCAGGCTCTGGGTCTGAGTGTAGCCGGATGTGCAGTCTGGATCCTGTTTGGCACAGGAAGCCTTCTCATCGTCCTCCCATCAGGTGACACTGCTGCTCTGTATCTTACTGTTAAAGCACCAGTATAACATTCACAAATAATGTAGCCTAGCTTAGCACAAAGCCTGGAAGCACAAGTGATCAGATCAGAGTAAGCTGATGTCTGAGTAAGTGGTTACACCATCCAGAGAATGAATGTGTTAGTATGTAAAGTCCCCAGAAGTGACATAAGTAAACGTGTGTGTATGTGTGCAGATGAGCTGCGCACTGTGGGGGCGGGGCTGTTGCTGATTGGTGGAGTGGTGCTGCTGGTCGCTCTCATTGGATGTTTGGGAGCTGCTGGAGAGAAAAAAATCCTGCTGCTGATGGTGAGTTACAGATGGAAGCACATCAAAATTATTACATTTGAATTATGTATTATTTATTAAAAAGTCAAAAATATGCAAATTATTTTATCTCATAATAATTCATTTTTATGTTTAAAAAATAAAATGGGTGGAGATAGTTAGACAGCGTCATACAACCTCTGAGCTTGCAGACAGGAAGTGAAGCTGATGCTGCGTTCAGGTCATGTGGGACTTTCTGTAATCACCAGTAAATGACTTGTTGAAAGCGTTTTTCTGACATGGAGCTAAACTGTCCAAATAAAACCTAACAAACATGGACGCCTCACATTTCTCCCTCCCTCATGAACCCTGCTCTGCTCTTCCTCCTCAGTACATGGGCTTCCTCATTGTCCTGGTCCTGGGTCAGCTGTTCGTCACATTTCTGCTGCTTGTAAGCAAAGACAAGGTGAGTCTTTTATTTTGGTGGATTTTGCCATCAGACAGATGTTTGTTAAAATATTGTGTACAGGCCTAAAGTTTCTGATTTCACCGCAGCTTTTCTAAAACACAGTTTTTTTGTATAATTCATTCAAAGGCAACTTGTTCCACAAAACTGAAGGTGTGATGCCTGTCATGTTTCTAACGTGTGATGCGTGTCGTGTTTGTAACGTGTGATGCGTGTCGTGTTTCTAACGTGTGGTTGTGTGTCGTGTTTCTAACGTGTGATGCATGCTGTGATCAGATTGAACGGACTCTGGAGGACAAAGTGGATCAGATCATCCTTCAGTACAGAGGAAGCAGTGATAGTCTGGACAGATTCATGGACGATGCACATCGATATGTGAGTCACTCTCCTGTCAGAAGGGGTTGCTGGTCTTATTCCCACTGATAAAATGTTACTGCTCATTAATGTGTGTAACTTTGTGCTCGATCTCAAACTAAGTAACTGATTGACAGATTTTGATTAATTAACAGGGGGCATGCTGTGGCATAATCGGCCCTGCCGATTGGCTGAAGAACTCTTTTATCAAGAGTCTGAACCTGACCAATCCAGATGTACTCCCTTGTTCCTGTTTCAGCTCGTATCGTCCCAGCTTTAACTCTCCCTGGTGCTCCGAGCTGCTCAACTTCACCGCCCCAGTGTACGGACGAGGAAACATCTCGTATGAGCAGGTAATACAGTTCTCACACAGAGTGCATAGTCACTGTTTATCTATAGAACATCTTATTTTTATTACGTTATTTATCTTGTGTTTATTATTTTGTTCTGTTTGCTTATGTTCTGTTTGTTGTGTATGTTCTGTTTGTGTTCTGTATCATGTTTGATGTGTGTTGCAGGGCTGTAAAGAGAAGCTCAGTGATTGGCTGCAGGAAAACGCTCTGACGATCGTCGGCATGGATGTCGGTCTCATGTTAATCCAGGTAATAAAAGCTATCTTTCTAGGACAGGAACCAGTAGGAACATATACACAGATACATCCTGATTCCTGTTCTGTCCAACTGTGGCAGTATCTCTTCTCCATCATGTTTTTAAAACACTAGAATTTGCTCATTCTGTTTCTTCGCCATCAGTTCAGCTGTTGCTGTCCTTAACTCCATTGCTCTCTAGGTGGTTCAGTTTGTCATCATGGTGTACCTGTACCGCGCGTTTGGCAGAAAAGCCGCTTTCAAAAGACCTCTTGCCGACCCTGACCACGCCCACCTTGACCACACCCCTGAAGATGAGCTGGACTATGGAGAGCAGAACTACGCCTACATAGAGCCTGATGATGGCTACATAGACCCCATCCACCCAGAACATCACCATGACTACCTAAACCCTGTAGACCCCGCCCACCTGGCTTATCACCATGACAACCAACACTGAAATCATTGCACCTCAAGCCAGCCTGGGACATAGTTCTTCATTATCTACACTACAAATAATGACAATGTCTGTATTTATATGGTTGTAACTGAAACCCCAGATGTTAAAGGAATTGAACTAAAACATTTTGTTAAATAAAGTGGTGGTTTGTTGGATTGTTTTATAATTAGTCTGGGATTGATTGTTTTAGAGCCAGTGAGCATGTGATCGTGGAGGACCGCCAAAATAAAAAATAAATAACTAAATAAATGAACAAATGTAATTAAATTAGAAAGTAAAAAAGGGGAATTAATGCAAAGATAAATAAATACTGAAGCAAATTAAAACAGAAATATCCATTTATTCAATTCAATTCAGTTTTAT